CCCAATTGGGTGACCACTTGCCATACTTTGGATCTTTGCTATCCAAAGGGAGTATTGTTTTCCAAACCAATTCGCCTAGGCTGAACGACTTGGCTACAACTTTTTTATTAAAAAATTTAGCCATTCTTCGTTTTTGGACTTACAATCTATTTAGGACGTCCAACTTTAATTCGTCTAACTCTAATAAGTTTTGAACTAGTGATTCGGTATACTCATCACCACTTAACTTATGTTGCAAACACACTCTGATCGATTGCACGTTGATTTCCATAGGCAAAACGGCCTATTGTCCATAAGTAAGTTGGAAAGGAGTAATTTTAGTATTTGACCGAGGCGACGTCCTATAAGCCCATAAGGCCTTGTTTAGACATTCGTGCCAATTTCTGGCATTTTCATCTATCATTTTCCTTATGATATTTTTTAAAATCTTATTAGAAGATTCTGCTTGTTCGTTGGATTGAGCGTAATATGGTGTGGAGTTCACTAATTTAACTCCAAACTCGCCTAAGAATTTATTCACTTGATCCCCATTTAAAGATGTTCCGTGATCTACCATCAAAGTTTGTGAAATTCCAAATCTATAAATGATGTGATCACGGATAAATTCTATGACATTCTTTTGGGTGATCTCCTTTAAAGGTATCGCTTCTACCCACTTAGTGAAATAATCAGTTGCAACTATAACAAAAGTATGTTGCTTGGACGATGGGGGATAAATCTTCCCTATCAGGTTTATCGCCCAACCCTTAAACGGCCAAAGTTTGATAATAGGTGCCATCTCTCGTGCTGGCACCCTTTGTATTGGACCATGCTTTTGGCATGCTAGACAACTCTTTGCATACTGAACGCATGATTCTCCAATCTTTGACCAAAAATATCCATTCCTAATAATTAACCATCTCATCCTTTAGCCAGCTTGATGAGCTCCACATATCCCTTCGTGCACTTTAGCCATGATCGTCCTGGCTTCTTGCAAACTTACACATTTTAGCAATATACCATCAGAGCATTTCTTAAACAACTCTTCATCTATCAGTGTATAGTTTAGCAAACGCAACTTCATTTTTCTACTATCTCCTTTATTAGGTTCTTTAAGGAACCTTTTAATCTCTGCCCTCCAATCTATTGCATCTCCATCTTGTATGCAATGAATTTCAATCATTCTCGCCCTTCTTTGGATCACGGACAATATTGTTCCATGCTCACAAGTAGACTTCCAATTTAAAACCTTTGAGTACCCTGAGGCCATCTGGGCCAATTCGTTCGCTACGTCATTATATATCCCATTAACACATTGAAGCTCTATTTGGTCGAATTCTTCCAACAACTCTTGGGTGATTTCATACTGACTTATAATAGAATTACTTTGGTATTTAAAATCACCTATCAATTGGTGAATTACCAATTGAGAATCGCCTCTAATGATCACATTCTTTACCCCCATATCTATTATTAATTCTAGGCCCACGATTAAAGCTTCGTATTCGGCCTGATTGTTGGTGCACATCCTGTCCCAAGTGAATGAGAACTTGTGACAAATCCCTAAATGATTTATCAATGCTACTCCTACTCCCGCATCTTTAGAGGTTTTCGATCCATCGAAATATAAAACCCAAGGTTTTAATTCGAATGAATTGATCTTTAACTCAATTTCTTCAGGTATATCAAGGCATGGATGATCGGCCAGAAAGTTAGCCAAAGCCTGATTTTTGACTGCCTTTTGGGGTATGTATTGTACTTCGAATTCTAATAAAGTTAATGTCCAAAGGCCTACCCTTTGGTGCAAAATAGGGCGAGAGAACATATACTTAACCAAATTTACTTTAGAAATTAAATAAACGGTTATGGGTCGTAAATAAGCCCTTAATTTTGTACATGTGAAATACAATGCAAGACATAATTTTGCAATGGCAGAATAATTACATTCACATTTTGTTAACCGTCTACTCAAGTAGTAAATCGCCCTTTCTTCACCAAATTGGTCTTCCTGCGCGACCATTCCAGCTATTGATTCTTTTTCAGTCGATACATATACTTTCATTGGCTGTCCTTGGATTGGTGACACCAACACTGGTGAATTTGATAAATATGTATTTAGGCTTTCAAAAGTCTTTTGATGCTCTTCTTTCCAGACGAATTCGTCCTGATTTTTCAACTTTAAAAGCGACGAAAAAGCTTTAGTTTGCCCTGCACAGTTAGAAATAAAGCGTCTTAAAAAGTTTACTTGGCCTAGAAACCTTTGCAATTCTTTTTTGTTGTTAGGTGGTTTGGCCTCTAGAATGACCTTCGCTTTATTTTTATCATGTTCAATCCCCCTTTTGTGTACTAAGAAATCAAGAAAATTCCCTGCATTAACACCAAATGCACATTTCAAGGGATTCAACTTTAGTTTATATTGCTTCATTCGCTCAAATGAACATCTTAATTGTTCAAAATGGTCCTCGTCTTTAAGCGATTTGACCACTATATCATCTACATACACTTCAACAAACTTGCCTATCATATCATGAAAAATCAAATTCATTGCCCTTTGATAAGTTGCTCCTGCATTTTTCAGGCCGAAAGGCATAACTATCCATTCAAAACATCCTAGAGACCCAGGGCATTTAAAGGCAGTTTTGTGTATATCTTCCTTAACTATATAAATTTGATTGTATCCTGAATATCCATCCATGAAGGAATACATTACATGTTCGGCAGTCGAGTCTACTAAAGAATCTACCGTGGGCATTGGATATTCATCTTTAGGTGTGGCTATATTTAGATTCCTAAAGTCTATGCACACCCTTAGTTTACCATTCTTTTTAATACCGGCACGATATTAGACAACCATTCAACATATCTGGCCGTTCTAATAAAGCCTGCTTTTAATAATCGCTCTATCTCTTCCTTAATTTCAGGGAGTACATTAGGAGCGAAACGCCTAGGAGGTTGCCTATGAGGTTTAAAATTAGGCTTGGTAGGTAATCAATGTTTCACCAAATCTCTATCTAAACCAGGCATATGTTCATATTCCCAAGCAAAAAAATCTTTGTACTCCTTTAATAAAGCGATTAATTTATCATTAACCTCTTGATCGAGCATTTGGCTGATGAACGTTGGGCGATCTTCTCCTTCATTGCCAATATTCACTTTAATCAGGGGGTCTTGTGCTTGAGCATATCCAGGCTTGGCGATCCTTATCACTTCGTTGTCCAGTTCCCTTACAGGCACTTCTTCTTCTAAACAATCCACTTTGTTGACTTCTCGGCCAATACTTTGTTCTAACTCGAACACTGCCAATTTGTCTCTCTATGCTTTCAAGGTTGCTGCTTCTTTCTTCTTGTCCTTGCATTCTTTATTGAAAGCCATTCATTTGGCTTTGAAGGCCTGAATATCGACCATTTGTTTTTGTTGCTTACAACTCATTTAAAACTCCTTGATTATTGTTTTGCTAATTATTGGCTCCTCCAGGGCCACTATGTTTGGCCTCATCTGACTGAACATTTCAGTGAGTGCATCCATCGAAAACGGCTCTTCACTCTGCGCGACAATCTGAGTTTCTTCTCCATCTTGGACTACTCTAACATGTCCATAATTTCCTTCGTATATTAACCTTTCCACTGAGTTTGCTTCTGCGACAAAAGGCCTATGATCGACCTGCACCACCTCTGCTTCGCCCTTGTCATTCCAAAAAACTAGGCACTGATGGAGCGATAAAAGTATACAGCGACTTCCATGTATCCAATCTCTTCATAATAAAACATTGTAACTAGTGGGACCATTTATTACAAAGAAGACTATGGTCCTAGTAATTGTTCCTATAGTTATATCTAATGGTATAACCCCTTTAGCTGAAGTTGCTCCTCCATTGAAACTTGTCAGGATGACTTCCGTTGGGATCATATTACCTTCTGTCTTTGCGAATTTCCTCATCATCCTAGATGGAATAGTGTTTATAACTGCTCCATTATCGACAATCACTTTTGCCACAGGTATGCCGTTAACTAGAGCTTTAACCTACAGTGGCCTCAAGTGTTTGGTCAATTTCATGGCTGGTCGCTTAAAAATAACTTTTTCGGCAGCATCTATTTCCACTTCCTGCTTGTCCTCTGTCGAGTTACCCTTTTGTGATAAGTCAACATGCAGCATATCACACTGAGCCTCTATCTACTGAATTTCCTTTTTACTGTTTTCTAATGCTTCTTCTTCAGTTACCCAACCTGTGGGAGGAGGCATTATTCTTGGAGATGATCCATACTTTTCAGAGCGAGGCACTCTTTTCTTCCTTTTGGGCGTCCCGTACAGCATGTAAAAATCGAAAGAACGCCCAGATGGTTCTCCCAATAAGTCTACTTTACGAACTCCCTCTCGATGTAATTGTTTCAACAGAGTATTGTACGATACTCCTCTTCTTCTTCTTTCTGCTTCCAAATCGATTTCCTCTTCGATATCTGTCATACCATCATCTTCTTCACCATTGTAGGCCTCTTTAGAAGTTTGACCTTGTTCATATTCCAGCATACATACTTCCTCTTCGTTATCCTCCTTTTCTTCTTCTCCCTTCTCTTTATTCTTGAACTCATTAGCTAGTAAATAGTTATTAGCCACGACAGGAGGCAACGTACCAAACTGAATAGTAAGGGGCTGATCTGGATTTTCTCCATCCCTTCTGTCTCGCTCAAACTACGACCTCCCAGAAGAAGTCTCTAACAATTCTTCCATAGGTTCACCTGTACCAGTCTTTTCACTGTCTTTGAGAACACTTTGATTGGCTGCCTCGAGTAGCCTAGATGCCTTAGGACGTAGCATTCCATGTTGTTGTCTCATCATTCACCCATAGTTCCGTTGAAAACACTTTTGTTGGGTTCTAGTCATATCGTTGAAAGGTATCGCCCTTCCAGCCTTATACTGGGACGAATGCCATACATTTGGTTGACGAGGTTGCGGTCTGAATGTTCTCCCGTTATTTACTGGCCTGAACTGCCTCTCAAAAGGCGGTTCCTTATAGAACAATGTACCCCGCCCTCTACCAGACTGAGCGTTTGGAAAAATATTAGGGCGATGGTGATGCTGCCATATCCCTGGATTCTCTGCATTTGCACTCACTTTTTCTTTGCATCTTGCACATAGGACGTCTTCGTCCTTTTTAGGCTCCTTCCCTTTGATACGTTCAAAGATGCTGGGATGTGGTCCAGCTTCTTCTTCTCTATCATCTATAACCAACTTGAATTTTGGAAACTTGTCTTTGAAACCAGACATCACCATGTTCACTCCAAGTGGCTGTGGAAAAGGATTTTCATCCACTGCCATCTTCCTCTTATCCTCGAATGTAATTTGTCCTGATTCAATGACATCCTGTAACACATGGCGAAAAACCAAACAGTTGTTAGTCAAATGTGACCATGCATTATGCCATTTACAATATTTTTTACCCTTAACTTGTTCAGGGCTTGGCAATTTATGCTTATCGCTCAACTTTAATTGCTTATCCTTATATAATTTATCAAATATAAGGTCAGCTTTGGTTACATCGAATGAGAACGTTTTAGCCTTTATGTTTTCATCTTTTATAGGCTCATCTTTGCCCGATGGTCTAGGCTTAGCCATTATAGGACAAGTATATGTGTCTCCTTTAACTAATTCGGCCAAACACATTTCGGTTTGATCGTAATACTCGTTATTAATGGTATGAACATCAAAATTTGGGTCTCTATAATAAGTCCCCTTACTAGAAATTTTTCATTTGTTCTTCTTTTCTTATTAATCGTTCATACCTAATCACGTTCGCGCTCAATTGGAAAAGATCAGGAAATTCCTTGTCTTGGAACTTCTTCAGATCAAAGCTTAGACAACCTTGAGCGATTTTGACAAACTCCTTTTCGGGCAAAGGTACAAAACATTTACTTCTTACTGTCTTGAACCTTTGAAGGAAACCTTCTTTCCATTCGTTTGTCATTTGACGTAGATTCGCCAAATTGGTCAAAGTAATTTCAGACTCAGTCTTATAAAACTGAGCGTGGGACAATTGCTCCAATTGTTGCCATGTTTGAACAGAGTTTGCTGGTAAATTGATGAACCAGGAGAAGGCTACTCCTGTTAATGAACTAGGGAAAAACCTCATTTTATGGTAATCAGTTACTTCACCACTTTGCAATGTGAATCGCCCTATGTGTTCTAGAGTAGACACCTCTCCTAAACCGATAAACAATGAGAATTCTGGCACTTGTACCCTCTAGGCCATGGATATGCTTGGTCTACCCAATTAGGATATGGCTTGGTGTAAGTCGGCCTAATGACAGGACGTACTCCAAAAGCCATCTGGTCCTGTACGATTTCCATAATCTGATTCCTCAACATGACATTGGGGTCATATGGAATTCCTACAAGTTGGTTGACCGGTTGATTTACTTGAGGCCTGATGTTTGGTCCTTGATTAGCAACAAAGTTACCATGATTTGGGCCATTGTTACTATTGGCCTGAACATTTATTCCATCATTAACACATGGGGTATTCTGCCCATTATTTAGGACATTATCTCTTACATTTAGGTTACCCACCAAGTTAGATGTACCAATGCCACTATTCTGATATGGTATTACACCACCCCCCTGGTTTGAAGTAGAGGGATCAAAAGGTGGTTCTACCCCTTGATTTAAACTTAGAACCGGGGGATTATATCCCACAATTGTCCTGGTTTGAAAGTGGTTTGTAAGAGGCACAATTGGCTGACAAATTTGGCCTACAACCTATTCATTATTTCGTTCAAAGTATTCAGTTGTTTGGCCATGTTGTCATAATGTGCATTCCCATTCTGGGTAAATCTTTCCATATTATGAATATTTCGTAGATTTATCTATTCAACGACATCTTGTGTGAGTTCTTCGAGTAATGCACACATGGTTCGAGGACTCAACTCTGTCATTGGTTCGTAACGACTATGATTGCTCTGATTCTGTCCATCTGTTCGTGGAGAGCTATGCTGCTCCTCATATCGCTCGATCATAGACTGGACTCCTCCCTGACTTACTGCTTCCTTATCAGATTTCTGAGGCATATTATTTCACCTTTTGTATTTTCAACATCGAACACCAATTGTCCCACCGGGCATGCCAAATTTTTTCGCGCGGGTTGTCGCTAACAATTAAAAAGGGATCAGACGATTGTGTAAGGAACAAAACTCTTGAAACAAAGTCCCAAAAAAGGGGTGTTTTATTGACGATGACTTTACAATTGGAACTTAAACAGAATGTCTCCAAGGGGTGCAAGCATACGAGTACTGAAAAGAAATATTTTAAGTCTAAACTAAGGAATTGAAATTACATATTCTCTGTTTGAGAGTGTTTGATTCGGGGTCCATTGCTCTATGTCTTTTCTTCCTTTTATATTTCCTTGATGATCTTTTCGTGATCAACCGCTTAATTGTTTTATAACTGCTCACTTTCTTCATGGTGGCCAACTTATCGTGGAATTGTCGTCTCTAACTGCTGCCACTACTCTTTGTCGTTCAACCGTCTTCAACTGAACATCTTTGAATCGTGGAACGTGATAAGATTACTTAATAACTGTTTCGATAACTGCACTTTTGGATAACCATAACATTTTATGTTTGCTAAGATCTTGGGCGATTCGAAGGTTTGGGCGAGAACAGGGTCATAACTCTGGGCGACTGTAAGGCACTTCATTCACTCAAATCTTAGGCATCTTGCAAGTTTGGGCGATGATGTTACCGCGTTTGTGGGCTTCCACTATATTCATTAATAACCTTATTTGGGCATTTATCCTAAATTAGCCAGTTGGGTTTCATTCTTTGGGTTATTTGATTTGGGTTGCACTTTTAGCGTGTCAACAATACACATTAATGTAAAAATGAGAATGAAAAATATAGTCGTTACGGGTTCCACACAAGAGATAGAAAGTCAAATATGGTGGCTTGATGTGATAGATAACGGTCATATTTTTCATTTTAATGAGCAAATAATGAGAATGAAACGAGGGCTAAATGAGGCAAGTCCTCAAACTGAACATTTTCGCCGTTAAACATCCATTACACAAAGTAATTCATCTTTTTCCAATTTATATGTTTCATTATAATGAAAATTTTAAGATTTTGTCATATTTCCAATTCTCTTTTCGTCGAAAGGATTTTAAAGGACCAAACACTAATTTATTGTGGAGAAATGATGCAGTCCAATCGTCAACAGCAAAGAGTAACGCCTTAAATTAGTATCATCGATTTTGAAGAATACCAAGAAATATTATTGAATTTCGAAAAATTTCTGAAATTTTTGTACTAATTTTTGAAAAATAATTAACCAAAACATATAAAAAACAATTTGTTTAACATAGAAATTAGAACTCTAAACCCCTGATGACAACTAAAAGACAAAAATGGCAGTAACTCCTAAAAATGGCAGTAACTCCTAATTAAATTGAATTAAAATATAATCAAATTAATAAACAAAATATGAGAACTCGTTGGAGTTCGAGCCCCTAAACTCATCAAGAATTTATTCCAATTAGCTGTTGATGTTATAATGATTAATAAAAATTCTAATTTATTTGATGAAGCTTCTTTCCTACTAATTTGAAAGTTTTTCTTATACATAAAAATTGTTCAATTCCGTAGATAAAGGTAGTAATTCTCGAACGAGGAACCAAAAATATTCTAGAACATCCTCAAGAGTAGTTAGATATTATTTCTCCAACGAGAGAAATTAGTTTGCGTAAAAATAACCCTACTTCTCGATTTTTTTTTTGTTCAAAATCATTTAAAATTTGACATATAATCTATCAAAACTAACGGGATAGCTTGTCAAATGACGAGTCTCGTGGTGTCTTTATTCAATATACTTGATCAAGTAATTAGTCAAATTTATTAACTAGAATTTCGAGTAAACACTTTTCTATAAAGTTAGATATCGTGTGCTTCATTAAGCCCCATTTGATTTAGCTCAAAATTAATTTTTTGGTAGATTTTAATAAAAAATGATGAATTGTGTGGTTGCGAAGTACACGAAAATTGTGGATCTTATAAAATATATATTGAAAATGAATTTTAAAATATGAAAATCAAACATGGACTAAATGAAAATAACATCTAAAATAAGGTTGTTTTCATTTCAATTATTAGAAACCGGCCCAACGTAAATGCAAAATTTAAGTGGTTTTAATTAGTAGAACCCAATTGATTTATTGCTCCAATAGGCCACGAAAGAGAATATGCTGGTGGAGTACCAATTGTTTATTATTAGATCTTGTTCACAAATAAAAAAGAGCGTATTATGGAATAGTGATTTTTGAAAAATTTGTGATTAAAAAGTAAGGAATTTTTTTTGAAATGCGTGTATAATTATTTTATTGAAGAATGCGTGATTGAAAATGATATTTGAGAAAAAGTATTCTTGAGAAAACGAGGCACAAATAGGGGCTTAATATCAGTGTAGTTCGAAAAAAATTTGTCCTCCCTAGCTCCGTCCCTGATTGAAGCTGTATTCCTAATCACAAGTTCAAAGCTAAGCCCAAATTTCATACGCAACTCATTGCCCATATTCAATAAAGCTCAAGTCGGTTATGTTTTTTGCTTAAATTTCGAAAAGATGATTTAATATAGGATATAGAACTTTAAAAAGTATTTTGAGCGCAACTCACACTTTATCTATTTATAGAAGTTTTACAAGTAATATAATATGCTCATGTTTGACAGCTATATAATAAGAAATTTGGGTAACGTGTATTTTGAAATAGTAGTTTTTGGGATAATGTATGATAAAAAAAGAATAAAAAGTTTTGTATTTACGTGTAATATTATTTTATTAAAAAGTATGTGATTAAAAAGAAAGGAGAAAAATAATATTTTTAAGGAAATCAAACAAGGGCTATGTAATAACAGAAAAATAAGTGGGTATACATATTTTCTTTGATAACATCTCTCACCAATCCTAATCTTGTCGTTTGACATTTAGTTTAAGTTGTTAGTAAGTAATAACATTTAACTGATAGAATAAAATAATCTAAACACAACCTTAAAAAAGTGAAAATCAAACTCAGGAAGAAGTTTATGTAAAAGTCTGTGTTACGAAACAATAAAAAAAGAGTTTTTTGTGCTTGTCTCTACCTGGATTTATAGTTGGACTAGTTGTCTGACGTGAACCATGCTACACTAATAGGGTTAAAATCTAAAGTTTGAAACTAGATGACACGTGTCATCTAGTTATTGGACAAATTAAAAAAATTACAAGAAAATTCAGCACCTGTTTCAAAAGCCTGATTTTAAACCATGGCAAAGCAGCAAAAACTCTTTGATAAAGAGGGGAATCTAAGCATTGAGAAATTGAAAATACACTTTTTCTAGAATTTTCTAACAGGATTTTCAAATATTTTATAGTTTACAAGGTGGGTTAAGTGGTACATAAATCCTATCCATTATTTCATGTTTTTGTAGACCCAAACACCTTTTCAT